CATACTTTATCATCTGATTTCCCTTACTTCTGCATTCAGTTGCTGTGCCATATCAAATTCGTAATCTACTCACTGCCCTTAGGCTAGATAGTCTCCTGATCGGGGATCTATTATTCATAAAAGCGACTTTGAAAGACGCTGAAATTGTATAATTTTAGATGTTACGGAAAGCTATGCTGGAGATGATCCTGAGAACTAGTGCTCACGAACCAGTTAAAAACCTATCAAAGGAAATACAAAAGCAGATGATGCGAATAATTGTGCTAGAGAATGAGGAAAACGCCATACTAGCCATTAAAATAGTCGTGGATCATAGTAAGATTGCGCGCTCTCACCTGATACCCGAGGTTAGTGGAAACTTTCGATGATAAACAGGCAGTTATTGTCATCTATGTGTTACATGTTTAGGTGTCTGTGATGCTACAAAATTTCAAGCAATGGGTTAAATGTATGTGTGTCACTCTGTCAAGGCCACATACCTTTGATACGATAGATTTGACGCATCCTTCAGTTCAACTACCAGAGGAAGCAATGATAGAAAATGTAAGTCATTCACTAAGTTGCTCTCAATTAGAAACTGAAGAGAGAGTTATGTATGATTTTATTTTTAGTACCTTCAACAATGCTACTATACACAGTCTGCTCTACTGTACTCTCCAAATGGAACCTTAGACACACTGGTTCGTGATTTTGAAATCTTTCCGAACATGATTAATTCACTGAACTCGCGCAACAGTATACAGTCGTAAGTGCTGAGCCGCTTGGCAAGGTAAGATAAGGAAAAGCATTTGCCGTTGATCAATCCCTTTTTGGGATGCGGCACGCATTCTACTTCCATTTGTACATTCGTAGTGGCGTTTGAATGCGATGTGGCCTATACAATGACTTGCGGGGGCCAGCCGATGTACAAGTCAGTGTTTTTATCCTCCCAGACAAGTCTGGTACCAATTAACCGACCCCGGAGGGATGGAAGGCTTGGTTGGCCCGGGCGACTCACGACCCAGGATTTGATCCCGGACCGCTCGCGTGGTAAGCGTGCCACTTGCCACTACACCACTTCCGCCCTAAAGGTACTGATAGATCGACAAAAAGATTTCATCGTATCGAACATTCTGAAGAAATCATGTGAGTGGTAAATTCAACGCACCGCTTCGCACTCGATTTGTGTGACAGATCCTTTGATGTACATAGCTCCACGTCCACTTGAGTAGGACGTAGCTGGTCTATTCTATTTTCGGATGATTGAAATCAGGGTC